CAGAAATGACAACTCAAAGAGGAACAGCGTTACATTCATCGTCAAAAAGACAGATTTCAAGATCTATCCTGAAGTACAACCCTGTCAGTGATAGGATAATACCCATATGGCTACAAAAAAGACCAGTTAATACAACTATTATTCAGATTTACGCACCAACATTTAAGGCCAAAGATGAAGAAATGGAAGATTTTTACCAACTTCTGCAGTCTGAAATTGATTGAATATGCAATCAGGATGCATTAATTACTCGTGATTGGAATGCAAAAGTGGGAAACGAAGAAGAAGGAGTGGTAGTTGGAAAATATGGCCTTGGTTACAGAAACAATGCTGGAGATCACATGATAGAATTTTGCAAGACCAATGACTTCTTCATTGCAAATACCTTTTTTCAACAGCAAAAACGGCGACAACACACGTGGACCTTGCCAGATGGATCACACAGGAATCAAATCGACTACATCTATGGTAAGAAATGATGGAAAAGCTCAATAAAATCAGTCAGAACACAGTCAGGGGCCGACTATGGAACAGACCATCAATTGCTCATATGCAAGCTCAAGTTGAAACTGAAGAAAATTAGAACAAATCCAAGAGAGCCAAAGTATGACCTTGAGTATATCCCACCTGAATTCAGAGACATTCTCAAGAATAGATTTGACGCATTGAACCTTAATGACTGAAGAATAGACGAGTTGTGGAATGACATCAAGGACATCATACATGAAGACAGCAAGAGGTCATTAAAAAGAAAGGAAATAAAGAAAAGACCAAAATGGATGTCAGAAGAGACTCTGAAACTTGTTCTTCAATGTCAAGTAGCTAAAGCAAAAGGAAAAAACGATGAAGTAAAATAACTGAACAGAAGATTTCAAAGGGTGGCTAGAGAAGACAAAGTAAAGTATTATAATGACGCATGCAAAGACCTGGAGCTAGAAAACTAAAAGGGAAGAGCACACTCGGCATTTCTCAAGCTGAAAGAACTGAAGAAGAAATTCAAGCCTTGAGTTGCAGTATTGAAGGATTCTATGGGGAAAGTATTAAACGACACAGGAAAAATCAAAGAGGATGGAAAGAATACACAGAGTCAGTATACCAAAAAAAACTTGTTGACTTTCAACCATTTCAGGAGGTAGCATATGACCAGGAACCAATGGTACTGAAGGAAGAAGTCCAAGCTATACTGAAGGCATTGTCGAAAAACAAGGCTCCAGGAATTGGCAGAATACCAATTGAGATGTCTCAACAAGTGGCTGCAGTGCTGGAAGTGCTCACTTGTCTATGCCAAGAAATTTGGAAGAGAGCTACCTGGCCAACTGACTGGAAGAGGTCTATATTTATGCTTATTCCCAAGACAAGTGATCCAACCAAATGCAGAAATTATCAAACAATACCATTAATATCACATGCAAATAAAAGTTTGCTGAATATCATTCAAAAGTGGCTGCAGCAGCACATCCACAGGGAACTGCCAGAAATTCAGAGGAGGACTTGGATCCAGGGATATCATACCTGATGTCAGATGAATCCTGGCTGAAAGCAGAGAATACCAGAAGGATGTTTGCCTGTGTTTTATGGACTATGCAAAGGCATTTGACTGTGTGGATCATAACAAATTGTGGATAACATTGCGAAGAATGGGAATTCCAGAACAATTAATTGTGCTCATGAGGAACTTGTACATAGATGAAGAGGCAGTTGGTCAAACAGGAAAGGTGTGCATCAGGGTTGTATCATTTCACCATACCTATTCAATCTGTATACTGAACAAATAATCCCAGAAACTGAACTATCTGAAAAAGAACGCAGCATCAGGATTGGAGAAGGACTCATTAACAACCTGTGTTATGCAGATGACACAACCTTGCTTGCTGAAAGTGAAGAGGACTTGAAGCACATACTGGTGAAGAACAAAGACCTTCACTATGGATTACATCTCAGCATAAAGAAAACAAAAATCCTCACAACTGGACCAATAAGCAGCATCATGATCAATGGAGAAAAGATTGAAATTGTCAAGGATTTCATTATACTTGGATCCCCAAACAACACCCATGGAAGCAGCAGTCAAGAAATCAAAAGACACACTGTGTTGGGCAAATCTGCTGCAAAAGACGTCTTTAAAGTGTTAAAAAGCAATGACATCACCTTGAAGACTAAGATGTGCCTGACCCAAGCCATGGTGCTGTCAGTAGCCTCATATGCATCTAAAGTTGGACAATGAATACGGAAGACTGAAGAAGAATTGATGCCTTTGAATTGTGGTGTTGGTGAACATTATTGAATATACTACAGACTACCAAAAGAATGAACAAATCTGTCTTGGAAGAAGTGCAACCAGAATACTCCTTAGAAGCAAGGATGGTGAGACTACTTCTCACATACTTTGGACATGTTATCAAGAGAGATCAGTCCCTGGAAAAGGACATCACGCTTGGTAAATAAAGGGTTGGCAAAAAAGAGGAAACCCTCAATGAGATGGATTGACACAGTGGCTGCAACAATGGGCTCAAGCACAATGACGATTGTGAGGATGGTGCAGGACCGGGCAGTATTTCATTCTGTTGTGCATAGGGTCACTATGAGTCAGAACTCACTCCACAGCACCTAACAACAACACATAGGTAAACATAGAACAGAGCATAAATGTAATTTTTGTTTGTAACTCTTTCCTTCTCCTATCCGATTTGAAAGCAATCGAATAAAGCAATTATTATAAAACTGTGTTCATTGGCTTATAATGTATAAAGACATAATTTGTATGACAAAAACAGCACAAAAGAGGGGAAGACAAAAAAGCTATATTAGAGCAAAATTTTGTATGCAATTAAAATTAAGTTGTTATTAACACAAACTAGATTCTAGCTTGACTCCTAGCGTGAGGGGAGGCT